TGCCACTTTCAGGGGAGTGGGGTGTGTGTGTGTGTGTGTGTGTGTGTGTGTGTGTGTATGTGTATGTGTGTGTGTGTTTGTTTTCATGTTGGACGACTAAAGGAAATAAGCAAGTACCTTTATTGTTAATTGTTATAGAAATACTGGGCTCAAATTTCCAATTAATATTAATATTATTTTTCCTCGGTTACAGGAAGACTTGAGAATAATATCTGCATTGTTACATAGCCTTTTGATTTAAATATGGTTTTCTTTTCTTTGAATTTCCACTAAAAATGGTACTTTGGCCTTTTAAGTTGTTTTTGTGAGGACTTTTCTTTCCATCAGGCCTGTTTTCCAGCTAGGTCTTAGAAATTACGAAGAACATAGCTATAATTTCTGCCTTGATTGGCAGCTGAGAGCTTTCCTGGACAAAAATAAAGTTGTAGTGTGCCAAATGGTTGACTTTTCTAGAATAAAAACTCTAAAGGGTATGCGAAAAGTCTTCTGGTTAATATATTGGCATTCCCAGAACCCACTAAAACTCCGGCAGCCTGCCAGCATCCACTTAATGAGGGCACAGAATGTCCGGTTCAAATCCCCGGGAGCAGAACGAGGTGGGGGCTGGATGTGCGCACCCTATATTAATTTTTAATGACTATACTTTTGTTTTGCAGATTTTACCCCAGGACCTTAGTACCTGCACAACTGACCCTCTCATCACCCCCATCCCTTTAATTGACTTAGCTTTAGAAAACTGTTAAGATAGTCAAGCGTGCTGAGGGATCACTTCTGATTTATATGCGCTCTTTTGTTGCTGATTTTCTTTCTTTTTCTTCCTTATTTCTTTGGAAAAGGGAGAGAGAAAAGGAAGAGAAAAGATGACAACTTTCAAAAAGTGACACTTTGTTGTCTGGTGGAGAAAGAGAAGCATTTACGAAACTTTTAAGTTTGTCAGACAGTTTATATGACAGTACAAGTTGGTGCTTGCCAGCTCCAGACAGATTGTTAATGTTACATGACAGGGATAAATAAATTACTGCTGTCTGCAACACGCTTGCACTGCAAACTCACTGTGCAGCTGGGCTGGCTACAGGCTGCTCACAGGACCTGGTGAGAGTACAGCTGCATGGGAAGGTCTTTGCCTGCTGCCTAGAATGCTGGGTCTTGGTTTAGAGATGGGGAGGGTGTGTCTCTCGCTTTTATTTTTGGCTGTGTAGCAGAGTGCACTTAGCAAATCTGTATCATTTGTTTTGCTGAGCTGCTCCCCTGTTGCCACCTTGGTGCTCTGGTACATACTTTCTTCTTCCACACCAGGTTGTATGGCATGCCCACTTCCCAGGAAAGCTAGGCTCTTTTAGCTGCTCAGAGCCTGAGGTGTTCTATGGCCAAGTTCCAGGCTGTTTAGGGTCATGTTCTTTATGCAGGTGCAGACACTGAGAACAAATTGTCTGCCCTAGATGAGTGTGTGCTGCCTGGGAGGGGACTGAGTGGCACTCTTGGGCATAATGTACTTTTATCATGGCAGTTTGGAGACTCAGCTGGCAGAGTGACAGGTGTAATGAACTTAATGGTCTTGCTCTAGTTGTTAGTGGACACACTGCTCATATTACAAAGCCACCTCATGTGGGGAGCCCCAGCCAAG